AAGTTGATTTTGGACTGACATATCAGTTTCTACGTTTTTTCGAAAAAGCTTGAAAATTTTCTTCTTGACACGTTCCCTCTGGTTTGGATGCGGTTGTCTTCAATTTTTGTTCCTTTTACAAGAAGAGCTATTAAGCTATTAAAACTATTAAAGCCTTTATTAATCATTATAGTACTCCAGTAAAAAGAATTAAAAGAGGACTCTTTAATTTCTTTGGAAATGCACAAAAATATTTATTTGGAACTCTATACTTAAATGATGGTCATAAATACGATCAGTATATTAAAATTCTTCAAGAAAATCAAGAAACCTTACACCAAGACGTATTCTCAACCCAGACGATCATTAAACGACTAACAAAGGATATAGACACTCAGCTGAATAATATAAAAAATAATCAGCAAAATATACTGACTCTAATTAACGACCTAGCAAAAATGACGCAAACTATAACAATAATCTCTTATTTCATTGTCTTACTCGACAACCTGGAAAACAATCTTCGTGCTATCAATGAAATTCGAATGAATGTGCAGACCGCTATCAACTTTGCTAAAATAAATGTAATGCACCACAGCATTTTTAAATATAAGTAACTTAAGAATATTATCTCTAAACTTGATCCGAAAACACGAATTCCCTTTGATAATATAATTAAATACTACGGAGTGCCGCCCGCTGACGTTACAATAAAAAATGACCTTATTATATTTTACGTAGTCATACCCCTTATTTCTAACAAACCTTATGATCTCTACCGGATATATCCCATACCAATTAATAATAAAATATCCTACACTAAAAGAAAACTGCTACAAAATCGAGAACATATCCTTATGCCCCAATAACCTGCTCAATAAAAACCAACCCTGTATTCCGCAAACAATCAATTTATCCCATCATTGTCCAATGATTCCAATTGAATACAAAGAAACCTCTGCTACCCAATTAAATGATAACTCTATTCCCGAGAAAATATATATTTTTATTGCCCAAATCAACAAAGTGTTGAAATAATAAATAAAGTATCTTTAATTCTGCCCGCAGAGTGTAATGTTAAAATTAAAAACAATAATTATGACTGTCAAAAAAGAGATATAATTAAGACTAAACTTCCGTCAATTAATTAATGAAGAATTGGTTCAAAATATCGAACCACTACAGTTGAGAGAAATTAATGTTGAAAATATAAAAGAAGATATGGAAAGTGCTCGAAACCTAGTAAATCGCCCTCTAAACCACTTAACTTTGGTAAACTGTAGTGTTTCGATTTCTGTAATAATTGTTATTATAATTATACTAATAATAATCATCATATTCTATTATTACCTAAAAATAAAACAAAATGTAAAGGTGGGCATGGAACAAAAAACTCTCGAAAATCAACTCCGATTTTCTCCAACGTTATATGGTCACTTATGATTAATATGTTACTAGAAGATAGTAATACGAGATATATGCTTATTCAGCTGCTTTAATAATATGAATACATGCGCTTATCGTATGCTAAAACAGTCTTAAAACTCGCTTTACAGTAGTAATTATTGTGTTACTTGTGTTTTAAATAAAAAATCGTTTTTAAAAAATACGAGTTTCGCATTTCGAAATAAAATTGTTTCATGGAAAACTGACACATGGTCGCGAAAACCGCCACTGTTGGTTACCGAGACACCCTCTCATGACAAGCAATTTGGGATACACTGATAGATTATAGATAGATTAATGTTTAATTTCAATATTTTTGATTGTTTATAAAACACAATTAAAGTTATTTTAACGTAATAACCAAAAGACAATAAATATTAGAATACACAATATTAAAATTTCACCTTAATTATATTCAAATATTTTAACGTAAATGTTCAAATTGTTCATATTTTCTAACTGAATGGAAACTATTCACCAACTCTATAGGTGGCTCAGTGGCTTCTTCTAACTTTGCTTTGGTTTGGAAAATTCATCTTTCAATCTAAGATGTTTTAATCTCCCCCATAAAAACAAAGTTAAAAGAGATAGATGGCATGATATTGCAGGCCACAGAATGGGGCGTGCGTTGTGAGGAGTTAATGGCAAGTGTTCCAAAAATCGAAAAACGCATATTCGCAAAAAATTACATAACTATCCGTTGTCATTAAAAAAATAAGGTCCCGCAAATCTACCTCGGAAAATTCCTACCCATACATTGAATCCAAAGCAGGATTGTCTGTGTTCCAGCGATAAGAATTGTATGTTTTAAATATTCCGGAACAGTCAATTCTCGCTTTATCGCTTCAGACAATAGACAATGGAATAAATATTCTTATTGCAGTTTCCCATAAACCAAAACTGTATTCTGTCCCCATCCGTCCCTTTCATGTAAATGGTTGATTTTTCTGGAACGTTATTGGCTATAATTTATGTTTTTTTAAAGGAATCAAAACTTTATTTTTCCAGCAACTGGTGCCCGTGGGGATATGTTTGTATTTTCCAATACTGTTCCAATTACATTCAATTCCCGGAATTGACCACTAAAATTATGTGTGATGGAACACAAAATTTAATAAGCATAAAAGTTGTGTCCTTAACGGACATTGCTTAAGACTTACGACCATATCCAACTATGATAAGTTTGATTCAATTATGAGATACAGAAAAAATCTGAGCCCTCCACTGCATTTGCTTTAAAAAATACTCTAATAATGGTTTTGTCCGAATCCAAAATGTTCATAAAAAAAAGCCAAAAATTGAAAAACGCCTTATATCTCGGTTGTTAGTGAAGATATCGACATGCCCTTTTAACCAGTAAATTTTTCCCAAAAATCGAGCCCTCGACATATAAGTCGATATTTCTCTATCTAGTTCAGTTTAGTTTTTCTTGTTTAAACACTCAAAGGGTACTTTTTTTATATATATTTTTTATATTTTTGCAAACAATATTTGTTTTGTAGAGATCTATATTACGTATAAAGAATGAAATTCTTATATGTCGAAAGTGTTAGATACATTGAAGATATCAAATATTTCAATTTTATAATCATCATCTACAAAAGACGGTCCGCTTGCGTTTCAAAATATTGCCTGGTTGTTGGTCTTCTGTTTACTTAAGAACTTGATGTAAAAACATAATCCCATTTTTTTTTCCATAAAAATTTCAAAGGGTCCCTCGCGTATACGAAGCCGCAATTTGCGTAGAACATGTTTCACAGGTGAATAGGATATCGATTATGTTGGTATAAAAATACAGTGAGCGAACGTCCCCTCACGTGTATGAGGTCCGTAGTTATTGCCAGAATATATAGCTCATGTTTGTTAGTTATTTTACTAATGACAAGTGACCGTAAAATCCGTTGGTCGCATTTTATATTGAGAAGTTGTCTCTCGTGTGCGTATCCATTCATGGACATAGGAATTTTTGCTCTCAAATAGCTCGCGACATTTATATAGTATACTATGCAACAAGTTTGATAAACGGCACTTTATTAAGAAATTTATTTGGGAGACAGAGGAGCGGTGATTATTATACGAGTTTCTGAAGAAATTTATCTATCATTATTCTTCTTAATGCACCTTACGTGCGTGGATGTTTCAAAGTGAATGCACAGATAGAAGGAACCGGCAGTTTAACTACGGTTCTGAATGGCAACGTTGCTTTACTACGTAGAATACTCTCCGTGGAGTGCGATTGCCTTCCGAGAGGTGATCGCCGAATATTTTTTAGGTGCATATGCTGGCGGTCCTGCTTGAACCGCCGACTTCTCGCATAGTAACTCAACGAACTAGCTAGTACCCTACGATACCACAAGTCACTTCTAGTAAACCTTAACGGAACCTAAAATTTATTTCGTCCAAAATAACAAAGACACTATACACTAGCCTTCATTATACAAAGGCTTAATAACACAGGCCAACAAAGATTTTGTGGTTTGGAATTTTTTATATTTTTGGTACTAAACTAATAGAAAAACAATGTTTTTCTTTGTTCCTATTGCGCGACATTTTTCAATTTTAGAGAAGTCATATTTATTGTTATTAAAATAGGAATATTATATAAAGTTCTAAAAAATTAAATTGGCACGCATTTTGCCTAAATTGACAGAATATTGGCGGGGAATCCCCGAAAATAAAATTTAATTTCTGAGATTCTCAAATATGTAGTCAAAACATTAGACATTGGGTCGTCGCGGCATGTCTTCGTTTATCGTGTAATTGCGTTCGTTGTATGCAGTCGTTTCGTAAGGTTAGTGGGCATTTTGCAGTTAAAAATGCCAAGATGTCCCAGCGCCTAAGAATCCCGCCAATTTAGAACAAGATACCACCAGTTTTTCCGAACTTGCAATAGATGAAGATACCCTTAGTGATATATGAAGTGTTTCTGAGCAACCACTGTTCAGAACTTAATGACTTAGCAAAGAGACTTAGGTTTAGGATCATTCCAAAATGTTGGCGAAATAAAAATTTAGTGGCACAATTTTTGGTTATTTTGAACAAAGTGGTTCACTTATTAATTGCACCGATAGTCCTAATCTAATAATGAAAATTGGTATGCACTACGCGCTACTATTGACGCGTTTTATTGACTCGTCCAGGAGAAGCCTTGAAGCTGTGCATAAAGGAAATGTTCTTGCTTCTGTAAAAAATTCCCAAATCAAAAAATGAAGCAGTACGTTAAAGCCTTAAATAAAGATAGGATATATGTTAAATGCCTATGTGGAAAATTTCCTTCTCTCTCAGATGAAAAATTAAAGAAAGAATATCTAATTAAAGAAAAGATTTTTTTGTAGGCGATCATGGAAAGTCAATACTTTTTGAAAACCATGATCGAATCGGAAAAGGTTGAGTGGGTTTAAAAGCTTTAGGAAACAACAAATACCCAAATTACAAAGACATTGTAGAAAACATGTTATAGAAATTTAGGGAAATGGGATGCAATACGAATATAAAATTACATTTTTACACTCATATCTGGACTACTTTCCTGAAAATCTTGTTGCCCTGAGTGAGAAACAGGGTGAGAGGTTCCACGAAGATGTAAAAAAAATGGAACGCCGATATCAAGGTCGACGCAACGTTGCATTGATGGCAGGTGAGTTTTTCGGCCAACTATCAAAAAATTACGGGATAGAGGAAATACTTATCAGATTGAAATAAACTTTCAAAAGTTTAAAAATTGTTGGTCTGTGTAGTTTCTATAACGTCTCTATTTATATCTGTTGACCATTTATATTTGCGAGCTGATCAATTTGCACTATCAGGGAGCGGTGGAGGCCCGCTTTTACAGAACACAGAGCTGGTCTTCCCGCAAAGCAGCGTCTGTGAACTCGCTTCTTGTGCAAACCCGAATTCCTGGAACGCAGATGTTGCCAGACTCAGCCCATTCGACTCGCTTGTCTATACTTTTGCTGTTAAAAAACTGTAGTGAATTAAGCCGAGAATTGGGAATATATAATTACATAATTTGGTTTTTTATCAACTTTTGGAGAGGTTAGCATATTTTTATTGGTTAAATACTGATTGAAATACAGAGGGGGCAATACATCTGGTCCCACGCCCCACCTCTTTCCACATGTAGAGTATATGGGCATGTTCAGAGTAATATTGCCTCTATTCGGATTTTTTAATGTTGATGTTGTGCTGTTCTGTGCACATTACTGTTTTGATATGCCCACCCACATCACGTATACAATGGTCACTGGGAAAGTTTTGGTTAGTTTGACCTAACAATGATACAAGACATTTTCTATCTTTTTTTTTAATTTTCTACATGATCTCCTTGTAATTTTAAACACTTTTCCCAGCGATGCTCCCATCTCCAAATAGTATTCAGCGTTTTTCTACGCGAAATAATTGTTCACGAAGCAGTTTTCAGATGAAGGAACAAAAATAAGTCGATTAGGGCTAGATCCGGTGAGCAAGGCGGATGGTCAAGCAGTTCAAACCGTAATCGGTGAATTTTCGCCATGGCAAGAGCTGAAGGATTTTTTTTGCACATATGGCCGTTTTTGCGCACATAATTTTTATCCTTAGCTTTTCAAGTAATGATGCATAGTATGTTTCTGTAAGGGTTTTTCCTTTTTGAAGGTAATGGGGTTAAGATTACTCCATGTCCATCGCACAAAACAGTCGCCATCACTTTCCCAAGTAAAAAAACAGATTTTTCATTTTTCGGAGTAGGTTTTCCCTTCGCAGTCCGCTGTTTTGATTGTGTTTTTTATTTGGGTGTATAATGGTGTATCCAAGTTTCATCTACAGAAATTAATCGGCGCCAAAGCTCGGATTTATTGCGCCTAAACTGCGTTGACAGAGCGTTGGAAAAGTTCATTCGAACACGTTTTTGGTCTAAGACGTGGCACCTAACGTGCGGATAGGTTTCTCATGTCTAAATTTTGATTTAAAATGTGACAAACGCGTTGCCCGGACATTTTTCTTACCTCTGCTATCTCACTCCCTTTAATTCGACGGTCGTTTAACAACATTTCATGAACTTTAGCAACATTATCGTCGGTAGTTACAATCTTTGGACGTCCCGAATGTCCGTCTCCTTAGCTTTTACGGCCATGTCTGTGGTAAATGACGGTGCAGAATTCCCGGCAGAGTCCCACCCGATTTAAAATAAGAGTAAGCGTATTACCTTTCAACGACAAATATTTATAACAGCTTTATACTCAATGTTTTCCATTTTCATTTCCCCTCACTCAAACGACTCTGAACTTAAAAGTACGCTTCCAAAATGACTGCATCTTTGGCAAGTAGAGGTAGAGGTGCACAACTACGATCTCTAGCTTTTAGTAACTAACTAACTTTTCAAGTGAACCTCGTATATGTTGTTAAATATAATTACAAGATAGAAACCTTTCCCTCATATTTCTTACCTATGAGATCCATAGAGTCTGCGTATGCTTTCGACAGCGAAAGAATACAACAGTGTTTACAGGAGGGGGGCTAATACTCCTAATACTAAATACTAGATTAATAGAAATCGGTTATTATTATTTTGATTTCTATTTTGCTCTAGCCTTTGTTCAGACTTCCTATGAACTAATTTCTAGCAAGAAGCTCTAACGTTTCTCTCGTTAAGGCTTTTGTTTCATTAAGACCAGAACCGCTGCAATTTTAATTTCATCCGAATTATTAATTACAGTGCTTCCCCTTTACACATGTTATTGTAGGGAGGGTTTGTATACATACCAGTCTATGATCTTGATATTCCAGTACTCACTCTACTGAAGGTACAGATTATGACATTTTAGCGGCTGCATTTATGATCGCAGGAGTCCGGTTGTTGGCGTTTGGAATTCCTTAAACGATTTCGGATTGAGTTTGAAGTACTTCTCTCCCTGATGGTGGATTTCTTAGGGATTGATTTAGAGTTTACCTGTGCTCCCCAGAAAAAGTAGCAGCGTTTTTGATATTTCAAATGCGCTAAATGCGTTTTTTCCTTCGGCTTTACATTCTGATTTTTTGCATCACCACGGCCAATTGCCATATAAAATAAGAAGGTTGTATTTATTTGCGGGAAAATATTTGCGAGAAAATATTTTATTAATTAAGGTATGTATCATAATTTATTGACCATTAAAATTTAGTGTGTGGTGAATTTGTTTGGGTGTAATCTGTATAAGGTAGTATCATTCTGCTTCTGCATAGAAGGATCTAAAGCGGCCATCTGTAGTTTTTTAAACAAGGTTACGTTCTTTATAAAAAAGTACGAGTACAGCATATTTATTTATTAAAACAAATTAATGTAATATAATATCATCTTCAGCTAAAATTGTACCGAAAACCACAATTAATTTGCGGAGTTGAACTCAAAGCGCCCTATTTCTGGGACCAATGATTGGTTTTTTTTTTCGACGTCGAGCAGAATCCAGGCAAAATCGGCTTCTGCAAGACATATTGTATCAAAAACGGCATCAAAATCGCAGAGATGAGCTTAAACCTTCATTTTTTGTTCCAAATAGTAAAATTTTCTTGTCAATATCGATCAACTACTTTATTAGTAGCTATTAATTTAAAACCTCCCTTTGAATATTAATTTAAAACCGCAATTTCTGGGTCAAATAGTTGGCGACTTCGATCAGATTGTAGTCAGAATCTGCTTTTTTGCCATTTAGTCTGACAAAAATTTAGCAAGAATCAATAATGTTCAAACAGAAAGCAATAATATTTAAGGGGCCGATGAGTTCAATTTGCATGTAAAAACAACATAAGTGTTGCTACCAAAAACACGTTGTATATCTACTACCAAGCTTGTGTAAAAAAATTAAACAAAATTAAATTAACGCCAGGTTTCAACGATACGCTGAATACTTTAACAAAATATCTGAAACATGTATTGAGATAATAATTATTCAATTTCTATTTCAGGTCATATTCGCATATGAGGTACATACATTTTCAAGGTAAGCTGATACTTAATTTAAAGACTTAAGTTTAGCCAAATTGTGTTAAATAATAGTAACAATAGTAATACGTAATACGTACGTTTGTAAAAAGTACCGGAACGCTTAAATATCTCGAAAATTGCCAAAGCTGGATCGATAAAATTCAATTCTGGGGAATAACAAAGTTATCGGCAATTTTTTTTCTACTTTCCAAAAATCGTGCCCATCAACTGTAAGTTGATTTGACCTTTGTAGTTTAGGACTAGCTTTTTTTGTTAAAATATTTTCGTTAAAATATAGGACAAACATTTCTTTGCACAGATCATGAAATATTTAAAAATTATTTTTTTTTATATAATATCTTTTGAACAAATTTAATAATAAGCTCTTTGTTTCGTTTCAAATATTAAAGACAGATTTCAAGTTACATTGTAAAAAATGAGAATTTAAAGAAAATATAACTAAAGTTCGAGTCTGCCGCGGAATGGTAAACTATTATTCGCTATTTTGCAAAAATATTCAGCAGAACCTAAAACCTTCACATATTTCAAAATAAGGAATAGTTTTTTATATAACAAGCTTTTTTTAAATAATATTTCCGGAACAGGTTGAGTGAAAGTATTTTAGCGTTACACAAATTTTGGCATGCTGAGTCAGATTCGAAATCTATAAATGTCAAATTTTGAGTGGCAAGAAAAATAAAATCTAAAAAAAAAACAGTGCTGGATAAAAGGGTGCACTAGGATGGATGGTTTTTGAGGAAAATGTATTTCATAAATACATTGGTTAACATATGAAACTTATTTATTCATCAATAATTAACAAATAGGCCTTAAAACTGGACCGATTTCTTATTTGTTAATTTACATTTGGCTCACTAGCAGCCTAATTTTATGAAAAACAAAATATTTCCATTTATCTAGCCTTACACAACAAAAATAACAGGGACAGAGGGCAAAAACCAAAAGGTTTACAGATTACCAGACTTAATTCAACTATATTTTAAAATTTAGGCCATTTTTCCAGCTCAGAGGCAGTAACCTCGTATATATTTTCTAATAACGAATTTTTCGAAAATTTGATGTTATTAGAAATAACCAGCAATATAAAAAAAATATAAAAGCTTTCAGAATTAAGAATTGCGTTAATATTGCCTGAAAATTGATAAAAATTTTCAATAATTTCAAAACGTTGCACCGCAGACCAATGTATACGTATATGGTTGGATTCGTCTTGTAAGGGATATCCGAAAATGTAAAAGCATACAGAGTATTTCATTTAAAAAAATGAGGGTAACATTTTGCGAAACATCGCAACACCGCGTATTTGGTAAAAATATTTCAATTTTGAATATTGTCTCAGCAAAAGTATTATTTTATAAAATATGTTACTCAGAAAAATGTTGTTTTAAAGTTAATATGGAACTTAATAAATATCTGACCTTACTTGATTCCCGAGGATCCCGCTAATAACAGTGCATTAGAGACCGACATATAGATATTTAATATATCATCGGATTTGTCTTTAAAATGATGTTCCATTTTTTACAAAACTTCTGGATTCCTCCTGCGTCAGTTTTTGCTGAGTCGAACATTCTGACGTTTCGCCAATTATCCTGTTGCATTCTTCAGAGCTTGACTGAAACTCGTTCGCATTTTATTCTGTACCTGCTTATATATTGTTTAAGGGGGGCGGAGCTAAATGAGTGGCATAAACACCGTCTCGGATGACTGATTCTCATGTTGGTGACAAGTAGAAACCTGAGTCGCGGTTAAGATTGTTAGGTTGTTTATAGGTTTATAGATGAACTCTCGGATTTTTCGTTGGTAAAAGAACTGAGTACATGCAAGAATTTTAGTTTTATCGAATAAAATTTTGTGTCGGGGTTTCATGAGTATGAATTTATTTTTCTTAGTCTTAATGCTCTCTGGTGTCCTTTGAGTCTAGTTGATATTTTCTCTCCAATATCTTCTTTGCCGCATATGACGGACCGAAGATGTTGAGAGATTTTTGGACAAATGGTAAATCTGGTTCTGACGTTATACTTCTTCAGAACTTTTGATATGTGGTCAGTGATGTTTTGAATGTAAGGAAGGACCACAGTGGCAACTGTAGGATTGCTTTCAGCCTCATTTTTATTTTTTGATGGAACGCTTAATATCTTTAATGTGGAAATAAATTCTTTGAGAGGAGAACAGACGTAAGCTGTTTTAATTCTGGGTTCAGTGACTCGGACTGAGATAGTTTTACAGCTCTGTAAACAAGAGAGTTGATAACCGATGATTTTTGAGCGGATGGTGATGTGACCATGCATTAAGGTATCGGTCTGTGTGCGTCGGTTTTCTGTAAACACAATGACCCAATGTTAGGTCTCATTTTCTATTGATAAGAATATCTAAGAATGGGAGGTTATTATTAGTTTTCAACCCCGTGGTAAAACTTATGTTAGGGTGTTGGTCGGGCTAACGCTGTTTTCAGAGTTCGAAGGACCACTTAGGAATCTTTTGGATTCCCGATAGGTTCAGCGGAGTAATAACCACTTAACTTTGTTTTTCACTACTTTAATAAATATACGGTACTCTACAAGCCAAACAGAAAGAAACAAATAAACATTTGTATTGCATATCAAAATTAATTGAAATTAGGAGGCATTCGCGGAGCGTCTCGACCCGCACCCGTTCCACGCGTGAATCCCGTCGGAACCAGTCTTTTTCATCCTTGTCCTAGTGCGGTGTTGCCGGGTTGTGTCAAAGCTTGGAATTAATATTTAGTCTTTCGCCTGAACATGCCGCCCGCCTTGGAACGTGTTGGTCAAAACACTTTCAAAACTGAACACTAGAAATGTTTTACTTAATTTTTATCGTCCGAATTTTCGAATGGGAAAGTGCAGATCTTTGACACTGCTTTTTCACGATTGAATTGTTCACTTTCACACTCACTACTCGAACAATTCCGTCCTGACCTGGATGTAGTTCCGTTATCTTTCCAATATGCCACTTTAATGGAGGAGCATTGTCTTCTTTAAGCAGAACTACCATGTTTGGTCGTAACAACCTTTGCGAATTTTGTCGCCATTTCGATCTTACTTGTAACTCGTTCAAATATTCTAAGTGCCAACGCGTCCAGAAATGTTGCAAAATTTGTTGAAGTCTTTCGAATCGTTTTAATCGATTCTCTGGTACTTGTGTGTAAATTGGTTCCGGTATAGCAGTTAAACTTTTTCCTATCAAAAAGTGAGCCGGAGTGAGAGGATTTAGGTCATCGGGGTTGGATGTTAAAGGACACAAAGGTCGTGAATTCAAAACCGACTCAATTTGAACAAGAATAGTGCTAAAGTCCTCGAAATTTAAATGTGCGTTTCCTATTACGCGTTTAATGTGAAATTTTGCTCTTTTAATTCCTGATTCCCAAATCCCGCCAAAGCTAGGAGATCGAGCAGGTATAAGATGCCAGGTTATATTGTCTTGAGCTAGGGAATTATAAATTTTCTCCGATTTGTCTCGTAAGAAAGATTGAAGTTTTTTAAGTTCGTTACAAGCGCCTACAAAATTCTTACCATTATCTGAATAAATGTTCAAAGATTTGCCGCGTCTACCAATAAATCGTTTTAATGTAGCCAAGAAACAGTCGGTGGTGAGTTCAGAAACTAGTTCCAAATGAATAGCCTTATATGATAAACAAATAAAAAGACAAATGTATGCCTTGGTTAATTTTGGGTTTCTTGTTTTTCGATCCTTTAACAGGAAAGGTCCGGCGTAATCGACTCCGGTGTTATAGAATGGTAAATATTGATTAACTCGATACTCAGGTAAGTTACCCATTAAATATTCACAGGAATTTGGATTCACTCGAAAACAAGTGGTGCAATTTCGCGTTATTTTTCTTGTTAAATCACGTCCCGCTATGGGCCAATAACGTTCTCTTATCGAAGAAAGTAGCATAGTAGGTCCACAATGTAATAATCGGATATGTTCGTTTTTCAAGATTAAGTTTGTTAATGCATGTTTTGCTGGTAAAATTATTGGGTGTTTTTTATTGTAATCTTGGTCACTATTTTCTAACCTACCTCCTACACGGATTAGTTTGTTTTTATCAATAAATGGATTTAGTGATAACAAATTACTTCGTTTGTGAACTAGCTTATTTTTTAATAAATTGTCGTAATCGTGTGGAAATGATTCTTGTTGTGCTAGTCGAATTAAAAATTGTAATGAGTTTTCTAATTCTTCCGTGCGTAGAGTATTAGTTTTTCTGTCATTTGACCGACAATTCGAAATGAAGCGTAAAATGTATGCAAAAACTCGTTGTAATTTACGTAAATTTGAAAATTTATTGAATAATTCGCTGTTTCTTAAAATAGTTAAATTTACATTAATGCGTTGTTCTGGAATTTCTACTTGATTTAATTCTGAATCGAAGTCGCAAAGTTCTAATTCCTGACTAGTGAGCCAGTACGGTCCTGTAAACCATATCGATGAATTTTGTAAGTCTCGCATTGACATACCGCGCGAAAGTAAATCGGCCGGGTTGTCACTTGAAGACACGTGATTCCAATCAGCTGGGTTTGACAAACGCTGAATTTCACTTACGCGGTTTGCAACGAATGTTTTCCACCGTTTAGGTGACGCTTTAATCCAAGATAAAGCTATTGTGGAGTCTGACCAGAAATATGTTTTGAAATCGATCTTAATTGATTGGCGTATTTTGTGCATTAATTGTGCTAGTAATAATAAGCTACAAAGTTCTAGTCTGGGTAAAGTTAGCTGCTTTAGTGGAGCTACCCTCGATTTCGCGGCGAATAATTGTGAATGAAATTGTCCGTCTTTGGTTTTACAACGTACGTAAACACAAGCTCCGTAAGCTTTTTCGCTTGCGTCTCCGAAGCCGTGTAGTTGATTTGCACATAGTCGGACGCTGTAACTTGTCTAGGGATAGTAATGTTTACTAGAAATTGTAAATCTGTTTGAAATTCTTGCCAAATGATTTCTAGATTTTTCGGTAAAGGTTCGTCCCATGAA